CTTGAAAATGCCCAAATTAACAATCCAACCAGCAAAATACTACGCTAATGCTCCATCCCAAATGCAAGCCAAAACCAAATGCCTTCAAAAAGTGGCTGGGCTGTTAAACTTCCTACCGAGAAGCTGACCCAGCCATCGGGCATTTATAACGCCATTCCGAGATATGCGACCCGACGCTGCCAATGGAGGCTAGTGGGATAATGTCTTCAATGTTGTTTTCAAAAGATCAACGCAATGTGAGAAACCAAACGATTTTCACCAATCTGAAAAGACTCAAGCCCTGTATGATGCAGACCTGGTCCTCTTCCCCTGACCACTTCCAGCTATGAGTTGCTTCTCCTCCAGGAAAAAGCTACCCTTCTCGTCCGAGAACTGCTCGTGGAACAGCTCCAGGAGGTTCCCGGGAATCTGCTTCTCAACGAAGAACTTCATCCCCCGGTCCTTGCCGGTCCAAAGATGCTTGATGAACTTGCCCTGGCAGTTGGTCCGGCTCTGGGGGAAGCCGTTGGCCTCCGAGCACGGGAGCTCCTTGATGTCCCCCGCGTAGTCGTAGCGGATGAAGTTCCCGAAGCCGCCCTGGTCCGTGGGGCTGCCCGGGATGTTGACGCGCCACCTGGTGCACCCCGGGTGCTCGCCCCCGTCGTCGGGGCAGACCTCCCAGGCCCTGAGGATCTCGTGCGTCTTCTTGTTGTTCTGGGCGACGATGAAGCCGGTGTTGAGGTAGAGCTTGCCGAACTTGTCCCTGTTGTGGCTCAGGTCCGGGTCCGACGCCATGGCCAGCGAGTTGGTCTTGGGGTGGATGTCCCAGTAGTTCATCAGCCACTCGAACGGCAGGTCGAGGCGGTCGAAGATGGCGTCCGAGTCGAGGTAGATGCACGTCTCGTGATTTTTGAGGATTTCACTGATCACGGAAGGCTTCTTCCACGATGCTCGCCGATCCTTGAATGAATCGACCTGCACATAATAGTACTTGTAGCCATGAATTTTTGCTGGGGAACGTCAGTATGGGATAAACAAGTTGAGGATGAAGAAAGATTGCAGATCTTACCATAAAGCCAGTGGTTCAGAAACCCAACCGAGAGCCCGTGGACCTCCTTCTGATGATCCCAGCTCATCAATTTGGGGCCGAAAATCTGGTAAGGGTCGTTGAAGGGGCGGTTATCAAGGTCAATAATGCATAGGCTGTTTCCCATTGACTTGGACCATTTTGGGTCTGAGGAGAGTTTCGAATCGAGTTCCCCATTTGCATCATAACCAGGGCTGTCCACCTTCATGTGAGAGCTCAAGGTTTTCTCTATGAACTCCTGCCGCAGCGCATCGCGTTCTTCTTTTGTGCCTTTTAGCACACTCTTATCCAGCGGCTTTTGTAGGTGAGTACTGTTCGTGGGCTTGGTCAGTTTCACCATAACACTACCAACTGTGAAGAGAGGAAAATGGATGGACTGAGTGTTGCTCATGAATTAAGGCGGGACAAGGAGTTGTGCTCAAGGCTGAAAACTGTCGGGGATGTGCCAAAGAGAAATGATCAGAAGATAACCGTAGCACAACGTACCTTGGGGTAGGCCGTAGGGAATCCGAATAATTAGTATATGTGAGACCGACGACGGTAGACAGGAAGACGATCACCGCAACGAGGACAAAGGCAGGCCTGTTGGGATGGCGATTCTGGGTTCCGAGCTTCATGGCACCCTAATCCTTGGTAGGGGTATTGTATGTACGCTGGGAGGATAGGGGCCAAGGGCTGCCCAGGAGATTTTCTATATTGTTGGAACAGGATTTGCTAGAGCTGTTCCGTTGAGAGATCTGAATTCTGGGAACGATTGCAGCTACCTATCAAGATCAAGCATGTCAGAAGAAATGGATCGACGACCGCCGGATGATCTGGGCACTGAGTATAGGAATAGAGGAGTTGGTATCGAAGAAGTGGAAGTGCTGGCAGCCCGCTTTAGACACATGCATGTAGATGATACAGGAAAGCAGATTCTGGAGGCCGCCGTCCAAGATTGATTTTCATCACCCAGTCCCACGCAAGAAACCATCCTCAAGCAGCATGGAAGCCGGCATCCCGGTCATGTAGTGGAGTCTTTGGCTGCATTAACACCAAAATGCCAGGCTTGATGTGGGCTGGACAGGGGTAAGGAGTGGGATTGGCGGGCCGTTGCTTCGTCACCCTCCTTGGCTTTGTTTACTTGGAGACTATTGATTTCTTGCTCCCTGTTCGCGATCACTGCAAAGGAACATCTACAGGATCCTGCTAAATCTGGGCAATATGTAGTCGCGGAGTGTGTAGTTGAAGTCTGGTATGAATTCCATCGGCACTCGAGACTCAAATCGGTCTCACCAACTGAACCTGAATGAAAGACTGCTAAACTAATGTCCAGCTGACCCCTGGCGCTCTGGGACCAGGATCAGACTGTTGCTCGATTAACCCTGCCATTTCTCCAGCAACCGTCGCCATGGCCGCTGTAGCCGTGCCTCATCATCGCTTCTCCGTATCCTTCTCTTGGGATTACGTAGGACCATGCTACGAAAAGATATCAATCAACTGATTCTTCATGGTGACCGAATTATGTTCTCCAACTCATCATGCGACATCTCGCTGGAGTAGGCTAGAAGTCTGCCATTACTTCTATGCGCCATTGGCGGGGTCCAAAACAAAGCGATTAATGGTGTCGCATCGCTTCGTCAGATCTGGCCCCCAGATGGCCTCCTCAAACCGATCAGTGATGTTGAGAATGTTCTTCTCTGGGCCATACAACGGCCAAGCGACATCATTCCCGTGCACAAAGTCCAGCAACTTTGTCTGGAATTCGCGAGCGAGTCCCACTCCCTCCTCACCCAGTGGCGTCTGCTCTTCATCAACATAGAGGAAATCTAAAGTTGGCAAAGATGATCAGTCCTGGGCTGAATCGCAAGGAGGGACGAAACTTACACCACAAGTCCTGGCCGTGGGTGGCTGGCGGAGTGGACATGACATATCGCCTGGACTTCCCTGGCAAGGCGTTGGCGAGGTTGTACGAGTTGCACGAGAAAATGGCATCAGTCGTCCAGTCCCAGGCAAGCTGTGCCGGTGTCTCGGGACGGTAGTATAGCGCCTGGATGGTCGAGACCACCTCGTCGCTAGCATTCGGCATGATTTGACGCACCATGATTGGGAAGTACTCTGGCTGGTCGGTATCATGCGACGTGCCCATCCCCTCGTACGCCATGCTGCCCATCATGATCCCTTCTAGCTCTTCATGGAACTCACCGACATGGAACTGCGCAAGAGGAAGATCGGGGATTGATTTGCCATCCGGTGCTGGGCCATATCCTATGACAGGCCCCAGGACACCACCGCCCCCAGTAGACGGCATTTGGTTGACAAGCTTCTCGCTGGCGTCCAAGATGGCATGTTCTGGAAGTGAACGCACACACTTCACAGTGGCACAACCTGTCACGTTAAGTAGAAGGTCAAACTGTTCTCGCTGAGGATCTGCGACCTGTCGTCGAGGAGGAGCTGCCGGTGAGGATATGAACATCTGTGGCAGTTAGCCCAGTTTCTTTTAACACCTGCTCCACGGGAGAGGATCTATACATACCTTCTGGAATGGCAGCTCTCCCTTGCCCCTCTCCAGAGTCGTCATGTAGTAAAGCATACCTGCGCCGGCACTCTGGCCCGCCGCCGTGATGCGCCTCCCATCTCCTCCAAACTTGTGGATGAACTTGGAGGTCCATCTCGCAGCTGCAAGACAGTCAAATAAGCCGACATTGGCCTCCATATCCTCACCCTCTGAGTAGGAGAACCCAGAAACTCCCATCCTCCATGTAATTGGTAAGCGCGTGCCGCACGAGCGGTTCCTCTTTTGATCGCTCTTACCTGTAGTTGTTGGCAACGAAAATGAACCTTCCATTGTGCTGCTCATACATGTGCTCGAACAGCCCCATGGGGTTGACGAAAAACTCCTTGCTCCCAAAGCTGTACGCGCTCCCATGGAAGAAATGGAGGACCGGGACGTCGTCACCTGGCTTCACGCCCTGCGGCACGTACACGTCCAAGAAGAGGCAGTCTTCATGCCCCCACGTAGTGCCGTTGATTCCGGGAAAGGGGATGTATGCTGGCGCAGAGGAGATGCAGTCACGGCTGCCGGGCGGCTCGTCTCCCTTTTGCACGCCGTCCACGTGGGGCAGATCCGTATTAGCCCTGCGGAAGCGCAAGTCGCCGGTGGGCGCGTTGGCGAAGCGGATGTTTTTGTAGATGGACACGTTGTGGCCAGAGGTTGTGGTGTTGGTGTAAGTTGGAACATGCCGGGCGTACCCAAGATCGACGAGACCGTTATGGTCGCCTCGACCGTCTGGGCATACGCGAGCTACCGAGCCAACAACAGCAAGGCCTGAAACGAGAACGGTAGTGAGAAACATGGCAGGATTGTTTGGGAAATTGCATGAATGGAAGAATGGAGATTGATGCTCTACGAGGGATCACTCTCTGTAAGGTCCTTTGACTCGTCTTTATAGCCTGGGAAAATGCCAAAAGAGGAAAACGAGGTCGGGCGAGGTTTGGATGATGATCGTCAGTCATACATCTTCCCAATTTACATCTGGCTCCCTCCTCTATCGTGTCATCCTTCATATTTATCTTCCCTGCTAAGTATACGAGAGCCGTCGGCCTCGAAAAAACGCCACTCACTCTAGGCTACCATCAATTGTGCTTAGACAGATGAGATATCTGTGCCCAGCCAGAGTCCTATATAGCTTCAGGGTGCTCGAGCTCCATATTTTCCGATGAAGCTAATGCATCTTGCTCCTCACAATGTTCCCAAAAAGGAAAACGAGACTGACGCCACAAGCCAAGGCCGATCACCCCTACTTTAAGGCTGAGCCGTATCGGCCGTAACGAGCAGGCTAAATACTCTGCGTATTCCCTTCACGGACTGGTTCGGGACGTCATCTCTACTCTTCTCTTGATACTCGTGAGAATTGGGATCAGGAGATACCCAGTCTCAGATCCCGAACCTAACATGGCCCGTGACTTCACCATCCCAATCTCGGGTCTTCAGGTATTAATGCAGGATGCCGATGAGAAGTTCGAGACACGCCAGTATAAGAAGAGAAAGTCACATCCCAAGTCCAGAGGTGGTTGTGGCAGCTGCAAGTTGAAAAGAGTCAAGGTACTTTTATGTTGATCCCAGAACCTGTCCAAGACTGCCTCCCCGGCCACGATAGACCTAAAACAGGTGTAATTTGATCAGCTGACTATGTTCTGGGGCCGGAAATATAGTGTGATGAGACCAAGCCAGCATGTAAACGCTGCCTACGAACTGGTACAAAATGCATCTACAGGGACATCAATGACAACTCCTCCAAGTCCATGGAAAACCAGAAACAAGATACTAGTCGATTCCCATTACATGCTCATGGGGAATTGATACAACAAATGGCACTGCCGATTGTGACACTAGAACCTCAAGCAGACCAGCCTGCCTCGCCCTTTGGGACGCCCAGGTTCACTCTTCTCCGCCATTTTTACCTCGTCTTCGGGCAGCTAGACATGTTCGACGGAGTGGCAACAGACCCGGTCGTCTCTCTCGCCCTGTCTCGACCGCACCTGATGAACGCCATGCTCGCCGTGTCCGCATCCCATCTCCGCTGCCATGCCACCACGCCTGCCCCCTCACATCGTATTGCTGAGCACTACCAGCAGTCCCTCGCCGTACGGGGGTTCCAGACCGCCCTGGAGGAGTCCTGGGACCCTCTCGGCGCGGACGCCCTGCTCCTGACATCCATGCTCCTCAATCTCCTCACCTTCTCCATCGTCGAGGACGACGACCCGTGGAAGTCGTGGGTGTTCAGCGACGACCCGAATCGTCTAGGCTGGCTCGGCCTCCACCTGGGCATGAAGCCTCTGCTGATTTCAACGGCAGCCTACCGGAAGGAAGGCACCATGCTACAGTGGATGTTTGACGCGTCCGACGACGACAAGCGAACATTCAACGGGACGCCGCGGCCACTGAGCCGTGTCCCTCAGGCGTGGATGGAGCTCTGCGGGGTCTCTCCGGGCCAAGTACACTGTCTAGATCCTGATCACGTCTTCTATGAGCCTGTCAGGATCCTAGGGGAGCTCAAAGACATGGAACCGCGGCACGAGCTCATGTTCATCTACGTTTCTTTCGTCGGTAAGCTAGGCAACGAGTTTCGCCGGCTCCTGGAATCGGGGGACACGGCGGCAATGTGGCTTTTCGGATACTGGCTCGGCCTCGTGGCCCGCTTCAATTTCTGGTGGTGCAACAACCGGGTTCGGCGGGATCACCGGGCCATTTGCATCTGGTTTGAGCTTCGGGGTTTCGCGAAGCGTGCGGGAGCTGAAGGCGAGATGTGGCGAGAACTACTCTTTGACCTGGAGAATGCACCGGTCTGGCCTTCCCCAAGAAGATCGAAAAGCCGTATCGGAATGGTCGATGCGCCTAGTGAGATCGGCAATGTGTGTGTGGAAGTATGAGAATCTGTTGTACATTATAGAGCTGTGGATCATATATCAAACTAGATATACAGAGCTAAGAACATGATGTACTGCCGTCTCAGCTCTGCTGAGCATGGATGTTACGACACCAGGGTCTGCCGTGAGCGACTTGATATGAACACAGCGCAGGCTCCAGAACAATCCCAATAATGCCTGCAACGCAGATACCACCGCTATCACTGGCACTTGCAGCGCTGAGGCTGAACTCTCTATCTTCAGTTGGGACATTTTCCAAAATCTCAGCAAAACAATTCACATACACTGCGCCACCGAGAAGGCCTTCCCAGAAGATGATTAAAAACACGATATAGACAGAGGGCAGGAAGAAGTACAGTGCATGGAGCACCAGGAAGAGCAGGTTTCCCACCTGCAAAAACGATGGGAGATAAAGGTGGTGGATCCGAATGAATGGTGTGGAGGATCTGGATATGAAGACACCAAGTTGGTAGAGGAAGCCGTAGAACGGGTAGAATCCGCGATACTCGTGGAAAGGTGACTCCTCTACTGGGAATAGAAGAGTGGGCGCAACACCTTGGTTAATTGCGTACTCGGCGACATACACGAGGAACAGCGGTACCATGTAGGGGACAAAAAGGGTACCAGCACGCCGTAGGTTATGCTGAAACGAATGTGTATGCGACGAAGATTGCCTTGCAAAGGCAGTTGATGCGCCTGGAGGTTCCGGTATCAAAAGAGCAGAAGAGACCTCCGCTTCAGACGTGCCTTCGACCTGTTCGTCCTCCAGGTCTCTGTCAGGAATGGCATCATATTGCTTCGCGTGGCCAGCCTCTTGAAGCGGCCCGCGAGGCAGAATCACGAAGAAGCTTATGAACATCACCACCGGGAGACAGGCTGAGAACAGCAAGCTGTCTCGAACATTGAATCCCCACCAATCTGTCAGCGCAACATACAGCGCAGCACCTACCAGGCCGGCAGCGCCCGTCCCTGAACCCCAGCCGGCAAGGCTCATGTGGCCATAGTAGTGGGTAAGGCCCAAGAAGCTCAGCTCCCCGCCCCCGCTGCTCAGACTTGCGAGCACGACACCGATGAGCTTGACGGCAACAGACTTGCTGGGTGGCGTCAGTGCCACCATTAGCATGCCTACAGCCGACAAAGCAATGAAGACAAGAACTCGTATATTGTAAGGAACTCGGTGGATGAAGTACGGGGCGATGAGCTTCGTCAGGAAGGAAGGCAGGACATCGGCGAGAAGCACCACGCCCTTAGGAAGGGTACCAACGAGATCTTGCGCCGCGGACAGGATGATGACGTAGAGGACGTTGTTAATCAACCCTAGAAAGTCTATTAGCTCCATGAGATGCTGGAAAGGAGAAGGCAGGGGAGGAGGGCCAACCCAAAAGCCAGAAGGCCACAACGACTTTCATGTCGGGGTTCTTGAACACAGCTCTGATTCGAGCAGCATACAGCGCCCAGGAGGACGACGGGGTGCCAGGCATGGGTAGGAGCCCAGAAGCTGACGGCGAGGCGCTTGTCATCGTAGCATCGACAGGCAGAGACACACCGGCATTCTAATTGAAGCTGGCAGGAAGCGCAGCGGCCAGCACGGGTGATAAGCGCAAGGAGGATGGACGGCGCAAGATAACAAAGTCCACTCGTGACACAGCGGGACTCCTGATAGTGGACAGGGCGATTTTAGGTTCGCATGACCACGCTAAAGTGTAGCCACGCGGGCCATTCCCCGGGAGCTCCAGCTGACCCATGCGCTGTCACCAAGAACACCACCAACCTTCTACACCCTCCGGATCAGGAACCGGTCAAGACATTGACAGATTGGGTCACAAACTTTCAATTTTTCACTCCCTTGATGTACAACACCATACCAGCATGTATATACGGTCTATCATACAGCGCAGTGGCAATTGGTGTTTGTGGGATAGTGATTGATCCAGTCGAATGAAGGTTGCCTGAAAGTATAGTCCATACACCCTGAATATCTCCCAATTTCCTTGTCGGTCATATTTTGAGGGTAAAAAGGTTCTGTTTAACCCGCTCTGCGAAAGCATGATAGGTGTTTTGCAGTTCGAAACAAAAAGGCATTTCGAAAACTGCATACTGCCCAGCATCCCCACTTGCTTGCATTGTTATAGCAAGTCCAGTGTCACGGTCATGTACTTTGTTGATCAACCTCGTGTCGACCAGCGAGGCATCCTCATTCTAGGTTGTGGGGAAGTGCTGTCAATTACTGTCTGGAACACTGCATTGTGACATTGCCAAACGTAGGTCAGATAAGGAAGGCATCTATGGCGATCGTTGTTCTTATTTCATTTATACTTCATTTTGGTAGAAATACGATACACTAATTAATCCTCTAAGCTATCCGAGCAATGAATGATCAGACTTGGCCTTGCCCAGGCTCGCACGCAATCGATCGCGCTCGGCAGATCTTCGGACCGTGGGATCTTTTTTTTAACATGGAGATAACCTGCATCAACACCAACCAGAGAGAGCAGATTTCAGATCTCATGTAGTACTAAGTGGTTCAAGGACCTATTCATTCCGTGTAATTTAGACCATTGAGGTCGTGTATACCTTTTTCATAATCCTTTAATATCATTTCCCTCTGAACGTGTGCCCCGAACCATCCCCAAAATGTCCGAGAAATCCGAATCCGCATGCCCCGTCGACCACAAAGCCCGCGAGGTCTGGCTATCACAAGCCCGTGCAGCCGAAGCCGCGAAATCCAAGAGCGCATCGCCGGCCCAATGTCCCGTCGACCACTCCGCGCGAACCCCTCCCAAGACCTGGGGACAGACGTTCAGCTCATACATCCCCTGGGGGTCGTCCGCTCCCGCACCTACACCTGCCGCAGCGCCCGGCCAAGGCTCTGGGCTTGAGTCCGACAGGGTCATCTCCAGCATCCCCCGATCGGCTGGTAACGGCGCCGCCTGCCCTGTAGATCACGGCGCCTCTGCAAATGCAGAGATCGAGTCTGGGGCCCACGAGTCCGGCAATTGGGTCTATCCCTCCGAGAGGATGTTCTTCGAGGCCATGAAGCGCAAAGGCTACGATGCGAGAACGGCGGATATGAAGACGGTGGTCCCGATCCACAACGCCGTAAACGAGCGAGCGTGGAAAGAAATCCTCGAGTGGGAGAAACCATATGCCGAGGCCTCGAAGTGAGCCCCCTGCCTCTTCCTTCCCCTTCCGTTTTGAACTAGACCCTAACCCTCAACTCTTCCCAGGTGTGGCGGCCCCAAGCTCGAATCTTTTGCGAACAAGATGGACCGCATGACCCCGACCGCACGCATCAACACTGTCCTCGGATACAGTGCGCCTTTCGACCGCCACGACTGGGTCATTGACCGCTGCGGCACCCGCGTCGACTACGTGATCGACTTCTACTCTGGCAGGGCTGATGGGAAGGGCGGGCCAAGCTTCTACCTCGATGTCCGGCCTAAGCTGAATACATGGGAAGGAGTCAAGATGCGGGCAATGCGCTGGACAGGTATTGCCTAAGACCAGCCATCCCTCGCGCAAATCAAATCGAAAAAAAGAGAGCAAAAAACACCAATTGTACAATAGCGATGATCTACACGATACCAAGGAATGGCGTTTGCGGAACAATTGTAAAATTAGATCACACATTACCTATAGAGCAGTACCCTTCTTGTTGTTTGCGAGCCATCTGTAAATCCACCATTGGCCCGTCATGACAAGGCACTATCTGTAGTCCGGGGACCTGCCGATTGCGAGCGTTACGCCATAACATCATTAACACGGGTATCTAATCTGTACAAAGTAGACGGATGCCCTATTCGTCCTTGCGATGGGCCTGTTGGAAGCGGAGCCGGACGGGGGCCTTGGTCTCGAAAGCCTGGCTCTCAAGATCCCATCCCACGCTCTCCATCTTCTCCCTGAACTCGGAATCCAGGAGGTCCGTGAGACCGCCATCGCCGTCCTCGCTGCTTCTCTTTTTCACAAGCTGCTCCACCTCCTTCGTGAAGCCTTTGCCCTCCTCCATTACCTGCGCGATCTTCATGGCGCTGAACCATGCGTTGACCGCATACCATGGGTCGGAGCCATCCCAGAGCATGATCTTGATGCTGGCAAGCCCGTTGTGCTGGTTTCCAATGAAGAGAGAGTATTTGTGCCCGTCAAGGACCGACACAGCGCCGCAGTTGCGCTTGTCCATCGCATCCCGGAAGTCCTTTGCGATGTCGATCTTAGCAACACGCTCACCGTGCTTATTGACGATGCGGGTGGACTCGAAGAGGATGCTCTCCCGCTTCGCAACCGCCTTGGGGGAGAGGACGGTGCCGGACTTGAGATACTCCGAGAAGAAGATGACAGCTCGCTGGCGGTTCAGATTCGTCATATGAACACTGCAGACGCCGACGTAGTTGACAAACAGATGGGCCATTACCAGCACGATCATCAGGAGCATGACGCTCCGGCTATCCTGGACCAGCTTCACCACCAGAGTCCCGACGAGAAGGCCGACCAAGCCCACCGCAGTCTCCTGGCTTGCCTCCTTGGCGTTCAACTCGGCAAGATTGTCGTGCCTGGCGAAGTGAACACTCAGCGCGGCCTTGCTCGCCCCCGCCGCAACACCACACAGAGCACGCAGAGCCTCGCCGACACTCAGGGTAAGCACCTTGCCCCACGGTCCCAGGGCGGGGCTGTAGAGCTCCAGGAAGAAAGCCGAGTCGTTGAAGACGTCCGCGAGGAAACGGTACCGCTTCGCCTCGGGCTCGATGCGGAGACCCCAGCGATTCGCAAAAACAATAGTCGCGATCCGGGACATGGCGTCCGTGAGAATGGTCAGGAGCAGGGCATACGTGGCCGAGGAGCTGGCGTCTCCAACCCCGAGGCCCTGGAGGAGGGCTCGGTTCGCCAGCAGGGACGTGATGGTTGAGAAGAAGGCCTGGATCGAGTCGCACGCCTGGTACGCGAGGTAGTCCTCGGACACCGAGTGGGGGAAGCCCACGGGCAGGAAGCAATCGAACAGGGTCTTCCTCCATCCCCTGATCAGCTGGACGATGAAGTCATTCTTCGTGCCGGCAGGCGAGATCTGGATCTGTTCAGCTGGGGGCGTTTCGCAGGGATGCAGGGTAGCCTTGCAAGGCAAAGGGAACTTACGGGAACCACGTAGCCATCTTTGGTATGCAACCACCGTTGCTGGACATTTCCAGATTTATCACACTCTAGTATTTCAACGGGGCGACCGTCTGCAAGGAGATCGGAAAGGCCCTCTGGAGAAGCTTTGGCACAGCCGAGTTCCTTGGTGGTTTGTTCTTCGCGTGGGGACTGGTCAACCATGGCGACGAATTAGCGGCCCAGCTAGTGGCTGAGTATGTATTTCGTTGTAGGTTCAAAGCAGTGAGCCTGAAGCTAGAAAAAAGAAAGTAGATGAAGAGAGCGTCGTTAGAATTCAAAAGAGGGATTTGCAGTCGGTAGGTGTACGAGCCACCATTTTATGGTTGGGTGGCTGGATATTGAAGGACGAGAAATTGTGTTCGCGGTGAGGCGGCAGTGAGATTGTTTGTTTGACATCAGGCAGCCAAACATGGGCGCAGCGGCCAACGGCTCAACCAACCAATTCAGTATCACTCGAAAGGTACCTCCAAAAGTTGGGACGCTACGATACACAGGTACATGATACATTTTTAAGTAGCAATTATTTCATGTTCATCATCATAATAATTTTGGCTATAAGATTATCAGACATCTATCTCGCTATCCTTTTCCAAGATGGTTTATCAAGTCTATCGCTTAGCAGGCTGACCATCCTCTGTGATGAGGAACTCGTCAGTCTTGACGGGACCTGATCCAACCCCGGTCTGTATCACCCTGCTCACACCATCCTTGAGGATAGCAGCAGTTTGCTCAGGGATCTTGGCGTTCGACTTCAGGGCGGCAGCTCCGTCCTTCCAGCCACCAAGGGCACCCAGAACCTCGTGGAACGCACCAACAACGGTCGCAGTATCTTCCTCAAGGAAGTAAATAACGCTGTTTGGCCCGGCATCGTAAGTGTAGGCAGCAACAGTCTTTCCAGCCTGGGCATTGATGGCCTCCACGGCACGGATAGCTGCGCGGGAAGCATCGTTCATATAGAAAATGGGAGGGTAGGTGTCGGCGCAGCATGCGTGGAAAGAGTTGGAATCTCTCATGGTAACCTCAGCAAACTTTGCGAAATCCTTGTCGCGGACAGCCTCCTCCATCAGAGTCATGTTGGCAGGCACCACCTGGGTTATTCTCTGCTGGAAGAGCCCAGAGGTGGCGACGGTCTGCTGCATACCAGATGTCGAGGGGACATCCTTCTTGGCAGCATTGACGACAAGAATAAGAGCCCGCATCTGGGGCCAGTGCGACGCCTCAGCAACGAGTTCGGCTTTGGAGTCGAGACCATCATCCTGGCTGCCCATCCTCCAGGCCACATAACCACCAAACAAGCTTCGGCAAGCTGACCCGGAACCCTGTCGTGCAATGAGGGAAAGGTCGGCGGGAGACTCTGGCAGCTCGTATAAGTTGGCGATGGCTCGGACGAGGGCAGCAAATCCAGCAGCAGAGGAGGCAAGACCAGCTGCGGTAGGGAAGTTGTTCTCGGAGACGATTTTCAGGGGCAGGGTCGAGAGCTTTGGCAGGGCGGGGTTGGCAGCCTCGACAGCTGTGCGGCGGGCTCGCAATTCGCGGAAGCAAGCCTGGGTGCGAGCACCGGAGATGTCCGACGCCTCGCCATTGAGTGTGAGGCTGTCGCCGTCGAAGGTAGCAGAGCAAGCTGCGGTGGTGAGGGTGCGGAGATCGTCCTGGGAGAGGGTGACGGAGAGGGAGCTGTTGGTGGGCAGGTTAAGCTTCGCATCGCGCTTTCCCCAGTACCTGTAGATTGGTCATCAGTGCCGAGCATCAGAAAAGGACGCAATTGAGGAATCGCACTTGACCACGGCGATGTTCACCGGCGCGGTGGTGCTCGCCCTGTAGACCTTGGTGTCCGCCATTGCAAGGTGGGGTATTTTTGATGAGGGCGGTGGGAATGTGGGATACGAGCTTGGTCAATGGTGAGAAATTGCCTGCTTTGAGGGTCTGCCTGGAGTTCTTGTCACTCTGCAGGATGGGAAGCAGAGGGGAGACAGAGGTATTGGGCAAGCTGCGTGTTCGGGTCGAAGAATTCCGGAAGACGGTGTGGCCTCCCCTCCATAGTGCGATTAAGCGTACTGGTCCCCTAATTGACCATACATATTTTCTGCCATTAATGAACAGCCCTAAAGCGGTTTAGTGAGGGGACCGGACGAAGTTGCAGCCCCGCAAATGCCCGTTGATGTTACGCCATAATGTGCATCCTTGTTGGCGGGGCAATTCATTAACATGCCCAATTTCATCCCTCACGACCAGAGGTATGTATCACTTTAGGCTGGAAGATGAAGAAGAATTCCATTGTTTTACTATCTAATTCATGGGGGTTTTCTCTTTGTGTGATTGCTACCTAGATATAGTTATGGACCACCATCTGCGTGGAGGAAAGTTTCGTTGTGATGCAATCACATGTGCAGCCTGACCTGGAAATATCCCTTGTTTACGACGGCTAAAAAGAAACATAAATAGGCCGGTTCGATTCCAGCTGGGGGCCGCTTTTAGCGGAAGCCAACAGACAGAAGACAGAGCCCAGGACAATGGTACACTGCCAATATCAGAATGGATGTTGCAGAGGTAGAGTGTGACTAGAAGACCTAATGAGGGCCTCTAAAGAAAACGACTTAGGAAACCGAGAATAGGATCTGGAAAAGTGGTTGCCAGATCCGAATAGACTCCTGATGTCGATAGGATAAAGCCTCTCTTCCTTAGTTCACAAGTATACCTACCTCAGAAATGGTTTATGGTACCTACAGACTAATACTGCAACTAAAAAAAATCAACACAGCAGAGCCTCAAATAAATATATAAATCCTCGAGGCAGGTGGCTTCAAACTTGACTTTGGCTAAGGGTCCTGTGGAATGTGCAGGGTAGGCTGGCTTGTCGCGGTTGGAGGCCTGACGCTCTACCCACAGCAAATTGCGGCCACTGACGTCATGACTCTTAGTGTTGTGCCTGGTTGTGTCGTGGCGCTTTAAGACATCCAACTTACTCTTTAATTTTGAGAAGAGAAGAATTGGGTTCGGATATTGTGGCGGCTGTGAACTCAATCCTTGACCCAAGCTCTAGAAAGTAATGGTGATGCACTTGGCGATAGCCCTACGGCCTGGGGCTGCCCGCTGCGTCCCAAACGTCCTGCGCGCATGGCCTAGAAGAGCTCCCTCTTCAATCCAGTCCCTGTTACCGCCAAGAACTTGGCGGGCACATCTTTCAACTACTACCCAACGACACGAAGCTCAGCAGAATCACACCCGCAAAGCATCCGTCGAGAGAGACGACGCACAGAGAAAGGTAGACGACCGGCCATGGCAAAGAGCAAGCAACTTGACGCGGGAAGAGGCCGATACCGTCAAATCCCAGCCTGGCGATGACTACCAAGGTAATATGCGAAATTCAATCCATAGCTTGGATTAGCTTGCTGCCAGTTGCGTGAGCTAACATAAGTTTGTATGCTGGCAGGATGCGTATTGACGACGCCGACCCGGCTCCTCAAGCTGATCATACCGATGCCGTTTCACCCAGAACAGAAAACCATCGATCCCGAGAACGAGCTGAACAAAGACCAATCCACGGGCACCGAGAAAGTCGAACCGCTTGCCCTTCTTGTGCACCCGCAGCAGCCTCTCTCCTACGTGGAAAGACTGATTCAGGCCGAAATCCCCCCCCTCATCGCTGACGGGCGAGAGAAGCTGCCTGGGATCGTATTTCGAGCCGAGGCGGAACAGGATAAGGACCACAAAAAGGCACCACGAAATGGAGACAATGTGGCTACTTACTCTGGCCTTGGTCACGAAGGTCCCAGAAACAAGGGTCACGTCAACTGGGTGCGGTGGAGTGGAAGCACCGAGGTGGGCGACTTTATTCGAGACGCCGCCCGAGGCCGCGAGTTCGAGATCGAGATTGAAGGGTGTCCCCAGGAGCTCAGGATCCGCGTGCCCAGCTTCAATGATCGGACATACTATATGCGGGTGAATCTGAGGAGGATGTCACGCCGGGTCGACCGCATGGCTAAGATCAAGAACGAGTGTGATCAGATAGCACACAGAGGTGCTCATCGACTTGCCCAGGGAGGGTTTGCAGCCTTGGTAGGCTGGTGGGGAGTGGTTTACTATGTTACCTTTCACACTGAGATGGGCTGGGACCTGGTTGAGCCCGTCACGTACCTGGCGGGCTTGACTACCATCATGGGTGGATATCTCTGGTTTCTTTTCATAAGCCGAGACCTTAGCTACAAAGCTGCCATGAATATCACGGTGTCCAGGAGGCAGCATGCTCTGTATCAAGAGAAAGGATTTGATCAAGGGACCTGGGACCAACTGATACAGGAGGTCAATCTGCTTCGCAGGGAAGTCAGGATCGTTGCGAGCGAGTATGGAGTGGAGTGGGACGAGACTAAAGACCTGGGTGGCGAGGAGGTGAAGGAGGTCTTGGAGCAAGAGAAAAACAAGAATAAGCGAAGGGACGACGAGGACGACGAGGACGACGAGGGCGGACATAACGAGAAAGGTGACAATACCTCGGAGCAAGAAAGGGCGCCCGAAACGAAGAAGCCCGGGAATTGAAGACATTTGAAATCGAGTGGCCAGCAGAGATTCTAGATACGGGGTCCAGCCGCCCGCCCGACCAATCCCCATGTGGACATATAAGATAGTACTTAGTTAGCCTCAAAGCAAATAGAAAGATCCATAGAGTGAAGGGCGATTCGCTCAAAAGAGCGCACATGTGATGAAAATTTGCAAGAGGACCCAGATGAATGACACCTGCATCCATCAACGGGGTCCACGAGACTTGGTGATCTTGCTGGGCTCGTTGGCCTTGCCCAACAGTGATTTCGTTATCGGAGAAAGAATGTCACCACGCCTTGATTGGGGGGAAGGCTTGAGTAGATGGACGGGAGGCTGATGATTGAGCTAGACCAAGATCATCCGCAAGGCCATCGGAAAAGGACAGTGCTATTCCACACACTCTCACTGTACAATGCAGCACAGCCACGCGGGGCTCACACAGTGCCAATCTTAATTTCCCCGCACCGCCCATTCCGGCCCAAAACCAGGAATTATGTGGAGGGGCGGGAGGCACAGATGAGGGGCATTTGCACTGTATCATGCTATTCTGAGCGCAACCGACTGCTAACTCAAAGCTCCTAGTTCACTGGAGGTGCATAACTGTACGTACACGACTGACTCTTCTGGAGCAGACGACATTCCTATTCCCAATAAATTGATGACCTGCTCCCTCTCCTCCTCTCCTCCTCTCCCTCACCCTGTCCGTTGCTTCACGTCTTCGTCGCCCGTCCCTCTAGCTCCCACTAGCTCAAGCCCGAGACGCCGGCCTGGGTTGATCCTTGCTCCAACGATACATGACAGGCGAGACAGCTCTGCAGTGTAGCTTAATTGGAGCCCCGCAATGCCAGTGCAATTACTTCATTTGCCAGACGGCCAGACCTTCTCGGTCACGCCTGTCTTCGGTGGTGTTGGATTCAGAAGCCATGAGATGAATGCTGCGCATTATCATGCCTTTCCCATCGGCTGGACCATCGTTCTCCAAACCGAGGCTGAGGCCGAGAGTGACGATGACGACCCTATGGACAAGGATGACCAGAATCGCCTTGATGAGCGGGACGGCCTGTTGGGCGCATTGGTCAATACGAAGCACGCAATACGCTCTTATACCACCCCGACTTTGGATAGGGATAGGCTCTTCATCTCGTCGATTGCCAACCCTTCCAACAATGAATTCAAGCCAGCTGCCAGCCCTACTCGCCAGATTGCCATGATGCTTTGGGTCACTCTATACTGGTATTTCCACCAGGCCGAGCCTTCTCCAGTCCTTGAGACGGATGCCTCTAGACTCACCCCTCCTTGTGGTAAGCCCAGAGGAGATTGGAAGATCAACATCACAAGGGAGGGAGTGCTCCGGGGCCGGAATCTCATCCCAAAGCTGGAGAGGATGGGGTTGATTGCCACCTCTAATTCTTCAGTTGGCACAAGTCTGGATGACAATGGAGAGAGCTGGGCTCGCATGTTTGTGTCGAGGAGGATGTTCTGGCAAATCCCCGGGCGGCTGTTCCTTTTCACCCTCCAGCCCAACAGGGGCATGTCTTCTTTCCCAGGCTCCCCAACAAACAGCCGGCCTAGCTCTCCCAGTCCGACCGATTCGTCGCGCCCTCACCACCGCCATACACACTCGCAGCCGCCAAATGCATACCACAGCCGCGCCGACAGCGACCTTCCAGGATCACCAACACCGGTGGCTCTCGTAGGCAATCCTGGTGCCATGTCAGGGCCCTTCGCCTCATCTTCCCATCTTCCCACATACTATCCTCCTCCACCACCGCTGTATATCTCGACAAATGGTGTCCGCCATCCTCTTCGGCCCAAGCCACCACGAATGGGTGAGGTGTTCTACTCTAGGTATCTCCCCAGTGTTGGGCAATACCTGTCATTCCGAGTGGCATCCAACTCCCCCAAGCCGGTTCCATACTTGGGACCGGTTGGCCAAAAGGCCGCCGAGAACCAACATCTTACCACGCTCAGCGATACCTCCCTACTGCAGACGTGGATGTCTAACCCGCGTGTAAGTGCGTTCTGGGGAGAATATCATCAGAACTTCCTCACCGATAGCTTTCAGTCACGCCACTCCTTCCCTGTAATTGGCATGTGGGACGGAGTCCCATTTGGTTACTTTGAGATCTACTGGGTGAAGGAGGACATTCTCGGTCGGCAGCTCGGTAGCGAATCTCAAGACTGGGACAGAGGACTTCATGTGCTGGTTGGAGAAGAGTGGGCTCGAGGTCGCGTGCCCACATGGCTCAACGGATTGGTGCACTGGTGCCTCACGGCTGACTATCGCACGATGAATATTTGCTTGGAACCTAGAGTGGACAACGAAAGGTAAGTTCCCATAAGAGCATTAGAAGTAGGGAGAATTTTGCTAACGACTACGGTAGATTCATAGAGCGGCTGCAGCAGAATGGGTTCTCACGGCAGAGACAGGTCTCATTTCCACACAAGCAGTCGTGGTATGTGAAGCTATCAAGAGACTCATGGGAAGGCCCTGTTTTATAGTCTTGTTGTGGATACTATTGTTTTTTTTTCCTTGCGTACATAAACGAGAGCGAAATATATGGGATACGGCAGATAGGAATCAAGCATGAATTTCCACGGACACCATTCACTTGGTCTGCAAAATCAATAAGCATGGACAATACCCTTCATCTCCTATAGAAGAGGAGACGACTTCTTCCCCGTGATGCCCTTGTTTTCTTATTAATTAAAATAAACGCAGTAATAAGAAAACAATAAATTATTGTACGATATTTAGCTCGATATTGTGCTTATTACTAGGTTGTTTATTTTGATATTGTGTTGAAATTCAATGCTAGAGGTTCTGGGTGTGCCATGTTTTATGTCAGTCGTTTGGGGCGATCAAGAGGTACGCAAAGTCACTGAAACCCCCTTCTCATCCCCATTCCTTATTCTAATACAATATTAATGGCGTCGAGTGCTTGATTGGATTTCCTTTACAGCGGATGTATTGTAGACAAGTGAGCGATTTCTCGTCTCTGCAGGAGAGGTCCGATGACGATGACCTTGATGATCAAAAACGTGGATCTCGATTTCTATTGCGGTTAAGCCCAATTGGCCAATTTTGGGTAAGATACCAAACAAGAACTTCAATTTCCGGCCGAAATCCGTGAAGGATTATCTGGCCATAATGATAGAACCGGTCGAGCAAGAGGAAACATGCCCTTTCATGACGCAACGGAGACTCACTCCCTTGTCGCCTCTAAGCGCCCGTTCACTCTCCACTCTCCCTCTTTTGACCACTTTATGTAATTAAAGTAGAACTCATGCAGCGGCTATTAACGAATGGAAAGATGCCTTGCGTGGGTGTGGCGATACGCTTTGAGGCAGGTGTGGCTGAGCCGCTGCAACGTCGCCCCGCAAATCAGCCTCACTCAACATCAGCAACTCATCTATATCTCTAGAATCTGGATGATGTAGTTCCTGTCAATGTCAATAATATACGGAATGCCTCGCCTCACGTGGATAACATGTGAGAATGGATGTCGCCTTACGAAATGCGGCGCCATTGAGGCCCGAGATCGCGCTCGCAAAGGCCATCTCGGAATTCGAGAGCAGCCTCACTAAGGAGCACAAGTCCAGCTTTCGCAGCCTCCGAACCCAAGCGCTGAGCGCACCGCCTTCAGCCGAGGATGTGATGAGATTCACGGCCAGCCTCAACAGCCAGATACAGAAATCTTCCGCGACCCATCGCTGCTTTGGCACACGCTTCACCAATATCATGCAATGCGTCCAGAAGTACGCTGCTCTGGGTGATGTGGTCGTCGGGGGGTCCCAGAACATCATTGCATGCGGAGTTTGGGCCCTGGTGAGATTGACGATCCAGGTATGAATGAAACACCCCCTAATTTGTGAGTTCTTGGGTAATTGACCTCTTGTAGGTCTGCATTGGCTTCGGCTCGTACTTGGACAAGGTCTCACACTTCTTCATGACCGTCGGCCAATCAGCACCGCGATATGAATCTATGGCATTGCTCTACCGTCGGTCAAAGCTGCTGAGCCAGTACATGTCGAGTTATTTTCTGGTGATCGTGCAAACCTGCCATGAGTTCATGCTCTTCAGCCGGAAATCTCTCCTTGGTCAGCTAGCATCCTCTCTAGATGACTCTAAGCTACGCGATGCCCAATCTAGGTCAGAAAGACTGGGTGCTAAAATCAGAGAGGAGGTTTCATTTCTCACAAGCCAGACAGTTGAGAGCGAGGCTAGCGAGAACAACGTTTTCCGCGCGCTGGTTGGGGGTGCTTACTCTTGGGAGACACAACAGAGGAAGCTTCGACAAAGAGCTAATCTCTTGGAGGCCATTTCATCCTCTGATCACGAGACACCCTTTAGGCAAGCACGAAAATGTGGTGTTTCAACCGTATTTCAGGACGAGCCCGCATACTTGTCGTGGGAGCAGTCGACAGAATCCACAAGCTTGGTACTTGTTGGTAAGCTGGGTTCAGGTAAATCAGTGACCATGGCCAGCATCGTCGATGATTTATACCTATCGAGCCATGACCGTGCGGTTTCTTTCTTCTTTTGCAGGCACGATAACGCGGAAGCACTCACTGCCAGGGCTGTCATCGGGTCACTGGGCCGCCAGCTGATCAACAAATATTTCAAAGACTCCCTGCTAGATAATGTCGTGGACGGCGTGACTACCATGTTTAGCTTGGGAGATGTCCTGAGACTCGTGAAAGATACCGTGCCACGCGACGCACGGGTTCATTTTGTCCTCGATGGGGTGGATGAGTGTCAAGAATACGACTCCATTGAGATTATAAAAGCACTTGGAGAAATGCAGAAATTCATGCATCTGTCCGTCTGTGTATCTATCAGAAGCGGCACGCAAGACCACCAATCCCTTTTCAGGCCATTGTTGAATTCTCAAACGATGAGTATGCCTGAAAAGAACCCCGACATCGGCAAGTTCATCGAAAAGGAGCTAGAAAGAAGGATAGATGCCAAGCAACTCGTTCTTGGCCAAGAGGGCCTGGTAGTTGAAATCCGAGATGCTCTGATAAAAGGGGCAAATGGAATGTCAGAATGCCCCCTTCTATACCCATGAAAGGAGTCCATAAGAACTCGGACTGACTTGTTGGTGTGATTTAGGTTCTTATGGGTTGCCCTACAGATAGACTCGCTCTGTGACGAGAAATCCGATGCAGCAATACGCAGCGCCCTCCAAGACTTGCCACCTGACCTCTTCAGCACGTTTGATAGAATTCTACAGAGGTCCAGGAAACTTGCCCATACGTACCAAACACGAATTCTCAAAACTATTGTCGCCGCCCATCGCCCGTTAACAGTTGACGAAATTCGAGAGGTCATCAGCGTGGAGCCAGGCAATACTGACTGGAGCCCGGATATGCTCGTGAATGACATTCACGGCGTTCTGGCCTGCTGTGGAAGTTTAGTGACTGTTGATGAGGAGAATCTATCTGTTTATCTGATTCACCAGAGCGTGATGCAATTCCTCCTCGAGAAACCAACCGCCACCAATGGTAGTCCGAATCCAGAGTCGCATTTCACCATGGAAGAAGCCCAGAAGCTACTAGGCGAGAGTGTGATTACGTACCTGAACTGCTCCCTTTTTGAAAGGCAGATTTCGAAAGACATCGCTCACGAGGTTCGAGTTGGTGAGCTTCCTTCTCGTGTCATGCAAGAGGCTCTGGCGCCTGCCGGGGTGGTTGGCCAGTTGGCAATCCGGTGGTTGAAGTCGGAGTCCAACCTCGAGTTTGATGCAAAACAGACATTGACGGAAGTAAGAAGACGGCAAAGGAGTTGCCAGACAACAGAATTGTTCCATTTCCTCTCATATGCCTCCAAGTACTGGCTTCAACACTCCGCATGGATAACTAAAGAGTCGAAACTATTCGAATTATGGGTTAGGCTTCTGGAGAACCCCAGATTCGATGAGTTGACATGGACTCAGGACTTCGCATCTCGAGACGATTTGATCCTCGACGCTGATACTGGCGTTCTTTGGAGCTTTTCACAGCGCATAATGTGGGCAATCATTAACGCGCACATCCCCTTATTTCGCTACGAAATGAAAGGGAGAGACTGGTCGAAGGCTTTTGGGACTGTGATTCCATACCTGAGGAGATGCATGCAGTGCAACCCTAGACCGAGGATAGCTGCTAAGATGTGCACCCAGCTTCTCCCACTCGTCGCCCTATTCAAGGACCATGCAATTGTCAGCTGGCTCGTTTCCATGGGAGCCTCCCTTCCGTTCGACTCGAATACCGCGTTCTATAGAGATATCAGCGACTCTAACTATGCAATAGTAAAGGCAAAGTTATCTCACGATAGATCATTCTTTTCAAAGTCTCAAGTGGGACAGCTTCTGGATCTCGCTCTTTTGAAGAGAGATTCGAACATGGTTAAGCTTCTATGCCATCTCCCAGGGCTCCCTTTGAGTCATGTGCTCAGTGGCGACACGTCAGATCCATTGGTCATTATGATTATTTATCACTTACTCAAAGGGTTACCGCGGCTCTACCACTGCAACGTTGATCGGATCTGGGCAGATATCAAGTTGATCCACCGAATGACTAGTAGTAGCTTCTTTGACATGACAAAGGCTATCTTGGAAACCGCAAATAGATCTATGCCGAGATTGAATTTCAACGTACTAATTGAAAGTGGGATGGAACGGTACTGTCTCTTATCCGACCTCTCACTTGTACAGGCTCTTCGTCCTTGGTTGAGGGACGACGCAAAAGTTGAGGTCATTTCTTCCTTTATCCGACATGCCCTCCACGATAGATCAGTTGAGCGAAGCAAAATCGTATCAATGATATGGAGATATATCGATAGTGCTTGGAATAAGAATTCCGAACATTATAAACAATACGTCGAGCTTGCTCGGGAAGTTCTGATACGTTGCTTGCAGCTTAGAGACTGGGATCTCGCCCGCGACATCCTCTTACGGAACGCCTCCCAATCTTCGATACTTTCGATAAGAGCCATAAAGATCAGCTTGAGGCATTACATCATAGAAAGCAATCTATTGCATTACTGTGCAGATGCAGCAGACTGGGACGGCCTCACATTTTTGACAAAAGACGTCGAGTTTCCGCTTAACAACAGCATCGCCCGCTTCTCCTCTCAGTACGACTATCAAACGCCACTGGAGATCGCGCTCAGGGATGACTTCGAAAATATTCTCTCTTTTGGAAATGCGGCCCGGACGATACAAATACTTCTTGGGAGCCGTTCCTATGGAAAGATGAAGAGACAATCCTATGAGACCGAAGCCTTCGAGGCATTCGAAGACTTTGAAGGATTCGAAGCCTTTGAGTCCTTTGTAGCGTTTCTTAACAGGCTCCACGACTTACCAGACTTTTCCCCCGGAATGACTGGACAGGTTAAGCAGATCATAGATGCCATTTTAAACGTTCCCAGAGATTCTGACAAGGACTACACGGTGCAACTGCTTTTGTGGTGCATTCTTCAGAGCTACTCAGGGGCCTTTACTAAGAGCGATATTAAAGAGCGATATGGATATGCATATGCTTCCACTCCTAAGGTAGTGGAAAGGAGAACCCACTACAACCTGCTCGTTGACGCAACACTGTCATTTCGCACCACGGAAGAGGTGAAAATTATGGTACCATTGCAACTTGTTGATAGGATCTGTCTAATGGACCCATTCCTTCACACGAAACTGCATAACCAGGGCTGTGAGGGATTCGAGGCTCAGGTCGACGCTGTTCCTGGGTGGTTGCTTTTGAATATACCCGAAGAGGACGTTGCTCCAAAAATGAGTAACGAGAACATAAGACTTGGAAATCACGCGTCTCACAGCCCCGAACGGAAATATAGCTCGGAACCGCAATGATTTAAGTTTATATAAGGCACAAATACCGAAACCGGCGGCATCAAATGTATCAGAGCCGCTTCAGTAAACCTAGAAGAAAATTTAGTACTGAGTTATATTTACTCTTTCATATTCAAAAATCCCTGATACGTACACGTCTCCTCATAAATCCGACACGATCTGCAAAACATGGAGACACGTTCGACTTTGCTCTCAGCACATTCTACCACGAACTCCTCCTTGCCAAACTCTCCACCGCAATGGAAAGATCGAACCGGGTTCCCGTCTCTTACCGCTAGATGCATCTGTATCGAGGCGTCCAATTCAACATCATTTTGAAGCTCCCACTTACGACAGGGCATGCGCTTACTGCAGCCGCGCGAATCCACAGATATGGTACACACAGTCTGTCGGGAGATAAGAGGAATATATGATCATGAGGGTCAAGAACGATTGAGTGCGACAATGCCAGCCCCGATTGAGGATCAACTAGGGAAAAGGGTCATTTTCTAGTCCCAAGTGACGATCTCACAAGATGACGTTCCTATATCCTTCGACCCCATGTTAGAAAGGTAGGCCGGCTTGATTCAAAGCTTCCCCCTACATTTAATCCCAAGGTCAACGCCGTTGAAAGTAGTGGCTTAGGTCACAAGGCTACGACAAGACCATGCGTCGGATGGTGTAGCCTATCTTCGAATCACCGCCGAAAACCGATCATTGTTGTGTAACCCAGCGGCGTCCTAATAACCCTTGCATTCACTTGTAAAACAGTAACACGTGGTCGTCGGCCTTCGTATCGGCATCGACTCACGGGTTATCATCGTCAAGATTGTCTCCTGCAATCGAGCGCAGAGACACTCAATCACATCCCACGCCCACGGTTTGCCATGCTTGGGATTTCTATATAACTGCAGACTGGAGGGCGCTGCGGAAAGCCATCTCCTCCACCGGAGACATCCTCAGCCCTCGATGCCATACATATCCCTTGAAAAAAATGAGTTCCAGCAACACCAACCCTTCCTCGTCCTCCCACCGGGGGGCCAACGCCAGAGAGCTTCTACGCACAAACACCCCCGTCGCCACCACGGCATACACCAATCCACCACAAAAGATCTTTGACGCGAGGAGCCTCGCCGGGAGCAGATACGAATCAAGCGACTCGGGAGATTCAAGCGACTCATGCGGCAGCGCTGCTGAGACACCAACGCCGTTCAACACACCACACCGGCCTCCAGCATCGCTGGGGGCGGCGGAACAACCTCCCCGATGCCCCAGCCGACCGAGGGGCATGGTCCTAAAGGAATGGGCCATGACAAGGATCCCGGACAAGGAAATCCTAGATATCCTCACCAAGAACGTCAGGATCGGGGCTCGGACAATCTCCATCTTCGAGGCTGCTCAGCCTCGCCTCGGCACTTCCGCCTCTCAGCAGCCGCCCTATGATCTAGCGGTGGCACTCCACAACTCCCTGAGTGAATCAAAGCTCTCTATTGAGCAAAAGAGAAATCTCTTCATCAGCCTGGATTGGAAGTTTGAGTGCCTTGCATGCAAAGAGGTCAAGAAGCCTGACGCTTTCGACACAGGGTTTCATCTTTGGGGCCCTAAAAGAGACGGGCCGAAACCCTGGCTGAGGAGCGGACCATGTCGGAACTGCGTCAGTAATATGAGGACGTCTGCTAAGCCAGAAGTGCTCGTCAATTTTGATGTTTGTCTTCCTCCGGAATGTGCTAACAGGAGGCGATCGGCTTCTGAGCAGAATACTTAGTTAGACACTAGTTAGTTACTGTTATTGTGTAGATGTAGACAGAATCCTAGAAACAATGCGCAAGCAGCTAGATAATAATACAATTAATTCAATAAATTATTAGCTTCACATAGATGCTTGTTTAGGATCTCTATGGCTGACTATACGCATGTGTTTTGAACAATTCCTTCCCATCATGAAACGTTTATCGTAGATACTGCCAGAAACAGAGCATAATGAATGCCTTTCCAATGAACATTAATATCCAAGCCTAACAAGAAATGGCATATAGTCTCAGGTAGACTCCTGGGACTCTTCCCATAATTTCTTGGCCAACTCCTTCTTGATATATAAGCTGAGGCGTGAAGCAGCACCGCAGTAAGCCATGTCATCGCCAGGGCACAAGAATGAGCATTCTGAGTCTGTCACGTTCTTTCCAGGCGTGGCATCCGTCTCTCCTTCCAAGTTCAATTTATCACCACACCAGCACTCCCTGCCATATTCAACGCCAGCCCAGTCATACTCCCAGCAACGCTCGAGACAAGACTTGATTGTCATATTGTCACCGTTGTTGTAGATCTGATCATCCATAAGCCTTCCCGCTGATGGCTCTTCGACACAAGAGTAATATGTGAAGTTTTGATTTCCGGGGTACACGATTGGACCAGTCGGGGTCGATGAAGCTGAGGTAGGAGTAGTTGTGGAGCTAGTGGAAGAGCTCTTTGAGGGTGTGGTTGAAACCGACTCGGGTTCGGAACTTAACCCAGCAGTCGAGCTAGAAGAGGGGATGGGGGTGGAAGTAGAGCTAGGAATAGAGCTGGAAGACGAGCCGGAGGAAGACCCGGGAATAGAGCTTGAGGCAGAGCTGGGGCTGGAATCGACATCACCGGCCTTGGAGCCGGACGCAGAGGCCGGAGTTGTTGATGAGACTCCTGAAGTCGGGGTAGCTACTGGTGTAGACGAGGCGCTAGAACCAGCAGAAACGCCATACTTATACAACTGTAAGCGCATGGAACCACCGCAGTATATGCTTTCATCGCCAGCGCAGGTGAGAGAGCAGGTGCTAGGGTCATCTGCCTGGGTGCTGCCCTCTCGAAGAGAGTCATCACAATAACACTCTCTTCCATACTCGATACCGAAGTATGTCATACCAGAGCAGAAATTGGCACACTTCTCCAGTGTCATGTCATCGGTGGCCTCAGTACGAGATGACAGAACGCGCCCGTCTGCGAGCTCATTCCAGCAAGCCTCGAACACCCATTCACCCACTCTTGATTTAATTGTAGGCTGAGCAGGTGTTGTTGCTGTTGCTGTCGTTGTTGTTATGATTGCAGAGCTGGGGATGGTCGAGACACTGGTTGGTGTAGCAGTGGTCGTGCTATTGTCGGGGTTTGTGCCATTGAATGAGGCTCCATACTTGTACAGGTTCAAACGAGAGCCACCGCCGCAATATTCGGTAGAGTTTCCTTGGGGAATTCTTAGAAAAGTCCGAAGGCGTGAAGGAACGGTCACACTTACCTGAACATGTCATACCGCAATCGGCATCAGGAGCTGAGAGTGATGCGCTGCTCAGTGCATCGCCACACCAACACTATAAACCCTTGGTCAGTACACTGTAGGATTGACATTTCCAGGATTTGAAAATAGTAAACATACCTCTGACCCATACTCCAAACCGGCGTAAAGGTATTCTCGATCAGCGCATAGCGCAACGCATTTAGCAACGGTAGCTTCTGTAATCGCCACCTGTTGGGATAAAGCGCGATCACCCGATGCAGGCTCTGTCCAACAACCCAGACTGCCGTAGCCGAGCACCCCAGGGTTAATATAGGGACCGCCCGGGGGTAGGGGTTCAGTTGAGTTGTCGTCCCAACGTAACGAATCGCCAAACAGCGAAATAAAGATACCGGCCCCATCCACACCGTTTCCACCGCATATCTGGTTCAGGTCTCCAGAGCAGTCAAAGTTGCAATTTTTGTCATCCACCTTCAAGTTAGGCACTGTGTTGCCGGCCCAGCATTCACGATGATACTGGGTTCCACAGAAGATGTAGTCTCCATTTTCGCAAGCGTTGATACACTTGAAACCCTCATTCGTGTCATCGCCATACAACTGAGTAGAGAGCTGCCGTCCTGGATTGTTCTCTTTGTAACAGCCGACATATCTAAACTTGCCTTGACCATTGGCCAAGAGAGGTGGAGCCTGTTGTGCCACTGCGTCACAGTCGAAATGCATGGTTTGCTTCGAAAGGTTAGGGTCGTTGATGTTCATTGTCCATGGAGCAGTGCCATTATACGAGTCAACATTGATTTGCGACTTGGGCACAGCACAGGTGAGAACAGCAGTAGCACTCTCTCCAGGTGCAAGGGTGGTGCCCTCAGCAAGATCGACTTGGTTATTGGCCTGGACAATGCTGTTAATACCGAAGGGCGGTTTTGAAACTGTGAGACTCATTTGGACACCGCCCTGGGCAGCACCATTGGTGACACGGAGCTTCAATGAAAGAGCAGTGTTTTGGTAAACCTGACCGAAAGTGAAGTGTGTATTGGCATCATATTTGACCCAACCTGTGCCATCAGGAGTCTGGAATTCAATGACAGCAATAGGGGCAGGGCCAGCCGAGGCTTCGATATTGAAGGAATCCTCACCACCATCAGTGATGAACTTGACATAGCCATGGAAAGTTCCATCCGTCGATGAATCAAAGAGAACAGTGACGGTCTTGCTACTGTCCGCAGCAATAGTCGTAGGGATATCTTGAATCGTGAATTTCCCAAACACAATGTTGCCCTGTCCATTCCAAGTCTGGAGTGTTCCGTTTGAGCTTTCGCCGTACTGCACAGATGTGACAGTGAGCAGAGACCGGCCCTCGTTGCTAACGAGTGCAGTCTCCGTGACGCCATTAGGGTCGTTTCCGGTAATGACCCCGTTGAATGTGACCGTTTCAGGGCTGATAGAGAGTAGAGGGCCTGCACTCTCGCCAGTGCCTGAGACACGAATAAGGGTGTTCTTGCTGTAGCCATCCTGTGAATTGGTTGTATCGACGGCAATGTTATCGGATAGAACACCAACTCTAGAAGGGGCGAACTTGGCCTTGGCCGTGAACTTGCTGTTGGCGGCAACCTGCAATGGAACGGTAGGCACATTAGTGAGCTTGAAGTGGGTGCCATCTTGTAGGGCGATGTTCGAGACTGTGACGTCAATAAGAGCAGTACAAGTAATGTCCCTCTCGGAACTCTCGGAGGAGATGTCAATAGGTCCAAAGTCGAGGTCGGTAGTGCATACGAGCGGTGAAGTTGTTGGGGATCCGAATCCGTAGAAAGTTCCCATAGTAGTGCCCATATAAAGTCGACCATCACCAAACACTGCGCGTGTGAACTTGGTGCTTCCTGTGACATCGAAAGACTTGATCAGATTAAGTTTCCCATCCACCGGTACCGCGTCATATATGCGTAGATTGCCGTCCTGGACATCGCAGTTCCAAAGGAGGCCAGTTCCCTCCTTTCCGTCCAGCGTCGTGACTGTGCCATGGCTCACACCAAGAGTGTAAGCATTGACATTGGGCGAATCCGCAACCTTGGTAAAAGAAGGAACGCCACCACTGCAGGAAAACTTGAAAACATGGGTGGGGTATTGGATAACTGCAAATTTTTAAAAAGTTAGCCAGATCGTCATTCTGAGTTACGCAGTGGGATACACGGGCGACTTACCATTCACATAAATGTAACCCCCTTCCAGCGGATAAACACCAGCTCCAGCATACACGGAGTTCTCATTCTGGTACATTTGGATTACATCATCCATAGTCGCTCCTTGGCCGTTTCTGTATCCTCCCAGGTCATCCATGTTGAGCCAGTATGTCTTACCACTCTTTCCAGTAATAACACCCATGCGTCTAACATCGCCGCATGAGAACTCTGAGGGAAGGAGTTGGAGAGGGCTTGTTCCGAGATCTTTGTCTGCACCATCGAGTGCCTGCTTCTCCCAAGGCATGAAGAAGTTGACAATGGACAATGTTCCGTCCGCGTTTTGAGTCATACGAACAGCAGCCTCCTCCATAGCAGTGGGAGGATCGAAGCCATTCACGGGGATGGTGGAAAGCTGAGAGGCATAGCCGTTTCCAGTACCGAACCAGATGGATCCTGCGTCATCAGAGGCCAAACCACCTCCAGACATCCAAATACCGGCACCTCGGGTTGTTTCAGGGACATCAGGGCCTTGGGTAACCCATTTCTCAACAATGTTACCAGATTTGTCCCAGCCAATAATCCAGCCTGAGAAATCGTACTGAACACAGTGAGATCCGAATCCGGCATAGAAAAAGCCCCCAGTATGCAGAAGACCAGGTCGCTGAAGCAGAATGCCGCCGTTGAATGTTCGCACCTGGCTGTTGCGAGAGACAATGCCTTCGAGATTGATCGGGAAATTTGGCCTGTCGCTCAAATCATTCACATCAATAGCATGGATAAAATAACGACCGGCCGGCCGACCCTGAGGTTCTTGACTCTGTTGATTCTCGTACGTCTTGACGATTACATAGTAGGTTCCGTCATCGGGGTCAATAACACCAGTGCCAGTTGCACCGACTGTAGGGTTGATGTCAACGCAGCCATCGAGATCCGCAGTCAAGAATGGGATTTTTAGGTTACGCGAAGCGATAATCTCGCCCGTCTTAGAATCAAGCTTATAGACGTTGTTTTGGGTAGTGGTCACGTATACGTATTGAGTATCACCCCCCGAAGGCGTATAGACAAGAGGTTGAGAGTAAACGACTTCTTGGTAGCCTTTATAGTTTCCAGGAAGGTTGGTTTTAAACAATTGGCCCCATTCAGAGCTGCGAACGACTGCTGGGTCCATGTTGTGATTTCTAGCTCAGAGCACCCGGAATGTCAGACCTTGGGCCTTTTTTCTGCCAATTGATGGTTTCCAATTGAAACAAAGACGGTCAAGATTTAGTAAACTCACGTTTGGTACCCAGCACGAGTATTGTCACCTCCCCAGGTAATGGTATCGGTTGAGGC